GGCAGGCAGGGAAGCAGAAAGGGATGCAGGCAGGGATACTGGTACGGATGCAGGGAGGGATGCAGGCAGGAGGTGGGCAGGGATGTGGGCAGGGATGCAGAAAGGGATGTGGGGCAGGGATGCTGGTACGGATGCAGGCAGGAGGCAGGTAGGGATGCAGACATGGATACAGGTAGGGATGTGGGCAAGGATGCAGACAGGGATGCAGGGAGGGGTGCTGGTATGGATGCAGACATGGATGCAGGCAGGGATGTGGGCAAGGATGCGGACAGGTATGCGGGATGGGATGCAGGGCAGGGTTGCAGGCAAGGATGCAGGGAGAGATGCAGGCAGGGGTGCAGAAGGGGATGCAGGCAGAGATGCTTGTATGAATGCAGGCAGGAGGCGGGCAGGGATGCAGGCATGGATGCAAACAGGGATGCAGATGTGGATGCAGACATGGATGCAGGCAGGGATGCAGATATGGATGCAGGCAGAGAAGCAGAAAGGGATGCAGGCAGAGATGCTGGTATGGATGCAGGCAGGGATGCAGGCAGGAGGTGGGCAGGGATGCAGACATGGATGCAGACAGGGATGCAGATGTGGATGCAGGCAGGAGCACCTCTGCCCTGGACGCTGCTCTGTTCCACACCAAAACCCCAGGAAATCCATTTCCCCCCCCTTCAGCAGCACCTGGGTCCGCGTGCAGACTTTAATTAGGTTTAAGCATTCCCCCTCCCTAAAATGTAGGTCAGTGGTAATTAGTGTGAATCCTGCTGCTGCCTGCTTTGCTTTTAATTAAGCTCCTGGAGCGGAGGTCGATGCAGGAGGTGCACCTTCAGGTTTTTTTTTTGGCTGCTCACCGGATGCTTCGTGGTCAATGCAGCTCGGTTGGGCAGTGCTGTCCCTGGTCACCCATGGGACATGGCCACGCTGGGGACACAACCATGTCAGAGGCACAGCTGTGCCCTGAGCTGGAGGTGCTGGTGCAGCCGCAGGGAATAGCACTTTTTTGGGTGCTTATTTTAATTGGAAGCTCATGGTGCCAGCATCTGTGGACCCGGGGCTCCCATCCCCTGCACTGGTCCGGTGTAGTACCAGGACCTGGGGTCAGACCTGGGTTTTGGAGGGCAAATGGGGCATGGAAACGGGGTTTTCTGCTGAAAGCAGAAAGTCTTCAGCCCCATCTCACCCCTGAAACGGGTGCCCGAGCCCTTTTCGGCTCCCCCACCCCGGCTGCCTGTGTTTGCACTCCCCGGCTGTGAATCACTCGGCTCCCCCGTCTCGCTGGCTGCCTTTGAAGGTATTTATAAACCACCGCTGCTGGAGCTCACTGTGCGGATTGAGCGCTCCGGCTCGCTCCTGCCCTCTCCTCTGCGCCCGAATCCTCGCTGCTGGGCGAGCAGAGATGCGCGGGGGCCGAGATGCTCCCCCTGCCCTAATTAACACCAGCAATTAAGAGCCTTGCTGGCACCGTCCTGGCAGGGTGATGCTGGCATCCCGAAGGTTTTGGTGGCACCGGAGCCAGTGCTGGGAAAGGCAGGGATTGGGGCTGAGTCCGTGTGCATGGGAAGGGGAGAGCACAGAGAAATGGGATTTAAATTGGGCATCGCCGGAGCAGCGAGCGGCTGCTCCACCGCTCCGGGTGCGCCGGTCCCCGGCCGCGTTTCCATCGCATCCGACTCATTACGGCGCTAATTCCTGTGGATTGAGCAGGCAAATTAATCTCTCCTCTGCGCCTTCCCCTGGGGCTCGCTGGTTCGTTAGGGCTGGGCTTGATTAAAGCTCAGCCAGCCGGGTGCTGGGGACGCGGTCACGATGCATCCCCTGCCCCGAGGGGGCTCCGCTGGAGGGGCTCTGCCCCCTCCTCTGCCAAAATCAAGCAAAACAGGGGAAAAAAAACCAAAACAAACCCAAACCTGAGAGAGAAACCTCTCAGTGGGAGAAAAATGGGCAGAAATGGCAGGGAGAGGAGTTATTTTTAAGTTGCTCGCTGAATATGCAGTAGCTGTGTCTTTCGCAGGCCGTTAAAACAGGATGCTGGTGCTCGTTAATTTATCGCCAGAGGTCGTCTCCACGGGAGGGCGAGGGCTGAAGCATCCAGATGGGTGCACCACGCTCGCCCCTCACCGCCCTTTTCTCTCCTCTCTTGCAGAACAAGGTGCTGACGGTGGACGGGGTGAAGGTGAAGCTGCAGGTACGGCCCTTGCTGGCCCCCCAGTTTTGGGGCTGGGCAGAGGAGCACCCCAGGAGCAGGTTCCCCATCTCCATCCGTTGCTGTTGTGTCCCCCAGGGCAGCCTCAGGGGCTGTTTTGGCTGCTCTGTCCCCTTGGTGGGGGCTGCTCTGGCTGTGGTGGTCCCAGTCCCAGCCCAGCTCCTTGCTGCTGCTGATTGGTGACACTGGTGACACTGGGAAGGGGTTTGCCCCATGTTTCCAGCGATCTCCTGCTGTGGGAGAGGCGGAGGATGCTGAGAGGGACCCCCAAAGGGATCCCCATCCTCTGGGACATGCTGGAAATGCCGTGTCCCTCCTCAGCCCCCCAAGTCCTGACCGTTTCCCTGACCCCATTGCCCAGAGCTCAATAACAACGTTAACAAAGTGGGTCTCTGCAAACACACCGCTGCGTGCAGAACTGATCAATGAGATTAGCAGGTCCCCATGCATCCATCTACCTCATGGATTTTCTGATTAAGGGGTACGGTGGGAGCCCTTTGCCATGCTCCGTCATGGACCCGCTGCTTCAATATTTCTTGTGCTCGTCATTTTTCCTATTGCCATCCCGAGGAGGGAAGGGCTGAGGAGGCTCCCTGGGCTCGCGCTGGTCGGGTGGGTGCCGGTTTTGGTGCTGGTGCCCCCCCGATGGATGCCTCTGCTCCCCTCTGCCTTGCAGATCTGGGACACGGCCGGGCAGGAGCGCTTCCGCAGCGTCACCCACGCCTACTACCGGGATGCCCACGGTAAGCACAGGGGGCAGCACCCCCCTACAGCCCCTCATTGCCCCAAGACACAGATCCAGGCCAGGGGAGATGGGATCCAATGGGTTTGGGAATCACCGGAGTTGGGAATCAATCGCTGGAGCCGTTTCCCCATAGGCAGCCACTGAGGATGGAGGAGCCTCTGCACATTGAGGTGCCAACACCACACACCGCAGGCATTGCCCGTGGTGGACTGAAGCATTTTGCTTTATATTTTACAGCAGGGACCTGCTTTAACGCCGTGTTTCTGGGCATTAACTGCCTGGGGAATGGCACAGAGCGAGCTCAGAGCTATGCTTGCCCAGGAACCATCCCTAATGCACTGTCCCTAACTTGCTGTCCCTCATGCACCGTCCCTCTCTCTGCAGCCCTGCTCCTGCTCTACGATGTCACCAACAAAGCGTCCTTTGACAACATCCAGGTATGACAACACCGGTAAATGAGCGCGGGCAGTGTCACTGAGTGAGGCTCCCTCGTCCTCTGCATCTCCCCATGGGCACCGCGTTGTCCCCAACCACCCTAGTGCCAGACCCGGGCAGGGAGAGGGGTCACATCCCCCCAGGCTGACCCCAGGCCCCGGTGTGGGGGCTTCAGGGGTGCTGGGGAGCGGTGTTGGAGTGGTGTAATGGCTCTGATATATTTGGGGGGGACACAGCAAATGTCACCCGCTGTGCCAGGGGGACAGGAGGACATGGCCTCGGCATCCCCTCCCCTCACCTGGGTGTGCCATGAGCACGGGAGGTGCTGGCATTGACACCCTGAGGTGGGGAGCAGAGCCATGATCCCCCAAACCTGCTTCTGGGGGTCCTGCAGCCCCCTGAGCCCCTGGCCCGGGGTGCCCAGAGCTGTCCCTGCACCGGAGCATCCTTTGGTTGGCAGCACCGCGCCTGCCACCCCCCTGTGCCCACAGTTCTGTAATGGGGGGACAGGGCACATCCTGCCACCCTGCTGCCCTGTCACCAGTGCCACCAGTGCATTGTCCAGCCTGAGGAGCTGGATGGCCCGAGGAGGGGTGTGATGGAGAGCAAGGACTGGTCCTTAACCAGGCTGTGGGGCCACTCACACCGCAGGGACAGGGATTACCAGGAGTTAGGGCAGGTTTGATGAGATCAGGCTGGATTAGAGGGCAGGGAGCCGGGCTCAGCCGCCTGCTGGGACGAGCGCGCTCAGCAGCGGGGCAGGATGTGGGCATGGGGCACATCCTGGAGCAAACCTTCAGCCTTATCCTTCAAAAAGGAGGATGATCTTTAGTCTTTAGTCCTAAAACCTCCTCCTCCTGGAGCTGTTGCTGACCCCATCCCTCTGGCTCCCTCCCTGCAGGCTTGGCTGACAGAGATCCACGAGTACGCGCAGCAGGACGTGGTCCTCATGTTGCTGGGGAACAAGGTGAGCCCTGCACCTTCACCACGGCCTCCTCTTCCTCCCGGGATGGAGCCGTGCTCCAGGGGAGCCTGGGAGGGCGTAAGGGACATGGGGACCCCTCCCGAACCATCCCAAATTGCCCTTTGCTGTCCCCATCGCAGGTGGATTCAGCCCAGGACAGAGTGGTGAAAAGGGAAGATGGAGAAAAATTAGCCAAGGTGAGTGGGGGTGAGGTGTTGGGTGCTCTGACTGGGGATGTGTGGGTGCAACAGCTCCTACTTGGTGTGTGCCAGTGAATGGTCAACGGAGACCAGTCTGACCCAAATACACCAGTGAAATGGTCACTGGAGACCAGTCTGACCCCAAATACACCAGTGAAATGGTCACTGGAGACCAGTCTGACCCAAATACACCAGTGAAATGGTCACTGGAGACCAGTCTGACCCCAAATACACCAGTGAATGGTCACTGGAGACCAGTCTGACCCAGAATACACCAGTGAATGGTCACTGGAGACCAGTCTGACCCAATATACAGCAGTGAAATGGTAAATGGAGACCAGTCTGACCCAAATACACCAGTGAATGGTCACTGCAGACCAGTCTGACCCAGAATACACCAGTGGATACCAGTAAATGGAGGCCAGTCTGACCCAAATACACCAGTGAATGGCTCCTGTGTCCGGGGTGGGATCTGGGATGGGATACGAGCATCCCCCGGTGACGTTCCTGACGCTGAGGTCTCGTCCTGCAGGAGTACGGCGTGCCCTTCATGGAGACCAGCGCGAAAAGCGGCCTCAACGTTGACCTGGCGTTCACAGCCATCGCCAAGTAAGCGCCTGGGGGCAGGGCTCGGGCTCTTGGGCTGGCAAGCGTTTGCCGTCTCCCATGAAATACCAAAGTTTCCGTCACATTTTGCTTTAGCAACGCACAGAGACCCAATCGAGTTCAACCGAGCTGGGCCAGGCAGAGAAATAACGTGGTTTTGGGGTATTTTTCCCCCCCCCTTTCCTGCAGGGAATTGAAGCACAGGTCCATGAAGCTCCCCAACGAGCCCAAATTCACGCTCCACGACTACGTGAAGAAGGAAGTGAGAGGCTCGGGCTTGCGGCGCTAGGCGCTCGGTGCGTTTGTACAGAGACTCACGCCAACGCTCCCTCCTCGTGGCCAGTGTGTGCATGTCCGTCCGTCCCTCTGTCCGTCTGTCGTGTCCGTGTCTGCCCAAAGTCGAGCTGAGACCTGGGGAATGGAAGCAGCAGCAGGAAAAGCCCTCCTGGCCGGGGCGGGGGAACGCCAGGAGCCGTATGGGGCTTGATGTTAATGAGAGTTATGGGGTGATGAAGGGGAACGAACCCCTGTTCCCCACCAAGCACCAGGGTAGGGAAACGTCCCAAATTTTCTGTCCCCGCTGTCCGGACTTGTTCTCGTGGCAACCCTTTCTGCCTTCGCGTTGTGCTCCTCCTCGATGGAGGCTTCTCCTGCGAGCGAGCTCCTGCACAGCCCCGTTGTACAGAGCCCCCCAATGTTTATCCGCTCGGTGGAGGCGCCGGTTCCCTCACTGCCGCCGCTCCCAGCCCTTTAATCGAGGAGAAATCTCGTGTACCGCAGCTTATTCGAAATACTTTCGTGTGAGTGTGATGGCGTTCTTAGACTGCAGCAGCGCTTTGGTATCTTCAAAAGTTCTCCCGGGACAGCTCTTTCTGATGGCTGAGAGCTGCGGGGACGCTGCAGGCACCGATCTCACAGGTTCAGCCTCTCCTGCCAGCTCCCTTCAATGGACTCCTCACCCCTTTGGTCCGTGCCAGGCGTTTGGCTTCTTTTCTTTTATCTTTTCTTTATTGTAAAGCTGCACTTCCGAGTACCAGTCTGAATCTGGATGAAGCATTTGGCAGTTTTCTTCTTTGAAAATTCCCCCTGCGCTGCCCTAAACCGGCCACTTTTTAAATGAAATAACCCATCCTTCGCGCTCCAGCCGAGCACCAGCTCTGCCGGGGGTGGCTTCAGACACCCCTGCCCCACCTTTTGCTGGGGGTCTCAGCCCCAAAACCGCAGCCCCGACCCCCGCAGCTGCTGTGATTCAGGCAGGGACTCGCGGAGCTGCAGTGAAATGAGCAGCTGCCGCTCGGAGCAGGTCCTGCACACAACGGTGTGAAAAGGGATCCTAAAATAAACCTGCCAAGAACACAGCGCCTCTTCCTAAATAGCTTTGTGGGGAGAAACAAGTCTCTCAGCTGTCTGCTTTAAATTTTATTTAAATTCCTTCTTGAAAAGCCATTTCTGCAGGAATATTTGCACGGCAGGAGCAGGTTTGATCTGCTGGTGGCAGCAAGTGGGGGGTCCCTGTGTCCCCCCTCAGCAGCACCCGCTCCTCAGCCGAGACTGAATATTCAGGTGTTCCAATACCTGAACTCTCCCCACCTTTACCTGCTCTACAAAACAAGCAGCAAACACAGGGAGGGCTCTGCAAGTTGCCAGGGCATCGTCAAGGTGTAAAAACCAAGGGCCTGGCACCTTGCAGTGCTGAAGGAAAAGCTCACAGCGCTTCTTTTCCTTCTTCAGTGTGGGACCAAAACCAACTAAAAACCAATCTACAGGTGGATGTAACGTAAACGTGCCTGGTGGGAGCTGCCTCCACTCCAGCAGCCATCACAGCTGCTGTTAGACCCAAATTTTAAGCCACGCAGCCCCCGTCTCTCCCAGTCTCCAGGTCCCTCTCTAGGACTGGGCTCGCAGCGCCCGCACCCCGACCTCTTTCGTGGGCCTTTGCTGCCACCATGCGATGAGGACCCAACCGCTCAGACTCCGGCGCTCCCTGCAGCTGCTCATTTTCGCTGGCTCTTGTTTACAGCTTTTGGTTCATTCCTGTTAATAAAATTTTTTAATAATCTTGGTGGCTACGACGGTATTTTTATTGTCTGACACACACCCGCACTGCTTCATCTTTCAAACGGCTCAGCTCATTCATGAGCTCATCCCTCTGTTACCAACGGGTCCAAGTGCTCCAGTGCACCCAGCAGGAACTGAAGGGAGCTGGGCAAAGCGAAGCTGCACGTTTTAAGATGCTCTGGTTCCCCAAAAGCCAACAGTGACAGCAGAAATGGACTCAGGGTGCCCTAATACAAAGTCGAAAGTCAGTTTGCGGTTTTACATGCCATCCATGTGAGAAACAGAAGCAAAACACATCTTTTGAAAGCTTTATTAAATTCGTAAGCTGAAACACGGGCCTAACATAGAAGCCAAAGT